TCGCAACGAGATAAGAATCGGATTATTCGACATGCTTCAATAGTACCATCGGATTTGATTAATGTCGCGAGGGATTATGGAGGCGATAGTTCTTTGCGAAAGCCGTGCAATATTGAAAGTGAAGTAGATTATTGCGGATTTTCCTATTACAGGTATTGATTTGATCTTTTTATTAACGTAAAAATATAACACGAAACGTGAGAATAATGATAGAACGTATTTTTATTAATTTTAATTAAAAAATTGTAATTGAAATTGTTACTTTTGATTACTTTTTTGCAAATATTAGTAAAGTTAATTTATTGATCATATTATTTTGTTTTGTTTTATTTTATTGAGAAGTTTATAATATTAAAGAGGAAAGAGAGAATTATGATAGCAGAATTGAAGGAAGATTAATTCATTACAGAACAGATGGCTTTCAAGATGTCGTTCTGGTGAAAGATGTAGGCATATCCTGCAATCTTTTAAATAAAAATACGGTCGAGTCTGATATATCAATTTCAGAGGTTGAAAACTATCTCATTAAACAGCTTAAACTCGAGTACAATGAATTGTCGAATATTACAAAAACACTAAATATGTATACCAAGGATATTTTGAATAACTTATTATCGAGATGCAGAAGAAAAGAGCAACTCCTTGAAAAATTGGTATAAAATTTAACATTTTAACTTAATTTGTGAGTTAATTTTTAAAACAAATTTTAATTTAAATACATATAATATATGTATAATGTATATACATTAATTAGATTAGAACGTATAATTAGAATGTGTATTCTACTTAAGGTATATTAAATATTTATACTTGTATATAACTTTTTAAAAATCTTAAGAATTTAACGACCTATTTAATAATTAAAATTATAACCGGTTGTTGCAACTTTCTCTAAGGAACTTTTATTACAGCATGTAGCTTCGAAGCATGTAATGGCAACACAATGTACAGATAAAATAGGAAATCCCTGCTTAAAGTTAAGATCTCGCAATGGTACAAAGAGGAAATATGGATCATTCGACATTGATTTAGATAAGAGTTCTGTTAGAAAGGAAATTACTCGAAAGAAAATGCATGGTATACTTATTATATACCTACAATAAAATCGTTTTGCACATCTTTTATTTATTTTATAAATAAGAATAAGAATTATTAATAATTAAATAATTAATATTATTAATAAATAATTAATTACTATTTATCTTGAAATATAAAAATCTTTTGTTATAAAACGTAAATCATACATTTCTTCATAGGAAATAATAATACAGAAAAGCGATGGGTAGAGTTTAATAAAGCTTTCGTGAAAAGATTTCTCGAACTCTCGTCGAAATGCAGTGGCGTGTTACTTCGTAATTATCTGATAATGAAAAGAGAGAAAGTATCTAGTAATGCATCGAAGGCTCGTTTAGATAAAACCGAAAATTTCTCAATCTCTGGTAAATTGTGCGAGAATCGTGCAACGGATAGATCTCGTAAATGCTTTTACGCAAGCAAATGCAATCCTCTGATGTTCACCAATTGGCAAGAAATATCTAAACAAAAAAATTGCAGATCCAAAAGTGCGTTTACTGTTAACACTTCCGAGTTGCGACGAACAATCAATCGCATTTGACACGCAAGTGTCGGAGAAAGTCGGATTCGAAGACGGATCTGATAAATTATGATTATATTTTATATTAAATTATTATTTTTTATTATATTTTATTTTTGTCACTTTTTAATATTTCTTTAATTAGTGATTGACTTTTATAAGTCACGATATTATATTTTCAACACAAAATATATAAATGTAAATAATATATTTTTGTAAAATAATACTTTTAGTACATTTTATTATTAAAATAAATATAATATTTATTAAATAGTAATTTCTCGTCTACTTATTTATTTGTGAATTTTAAATATATGACTTGTGTTAACATCTATTGTTGTGGCTGTATACTCTTTATTATTTATATTTAGTAATTTCTCATTTTAAATTATAAAAATATACACTTTTATAAATTTTTAATTTACTCTAATTTTGAGGGTGTTATAAGTTAAAGTTTAAGCTATCCCTCTATTTGAAAATCACTATTCTCGAAATATCGACTATCACAAAAAGACTGATCGATTAATTTAATATTCAACATATAAAACAAATATAAAAAAATGCAAGAATAAAAAAGGGTAAAAAGGAGGAGATTTAAATATTGTAATGATACAGTCTAATTATTATATTATTTTAGCTATTTCATTTCGATGTGGCGATTAAAGTACGATCGATGTGCGCATCAATCTAACGTGCGCAAGCGCAATAATTCCAATCGATATACAGGATATTTCCGGGTTAAACCGCCAAATTTAAAATATGAATTCAGGATCTCAAAACAAATAAAAATTTTCCTCTGAACGTATGTTCGCTTCGTTCAAGACATATTTACTTCTAAATTTACTTATATACAAAATTGAAGGAATAAATAATTAATTGAAATATTTTTTTGTTTTAAAGCTCGAAGGTCATTGATAGAGAGAGAAGCTTTTGCTTGCAGCTCGTAGTTGTAGCTCGTAGTTCGTAGCTACCAAATTTCTGTCATGGCGACCGCCAATATTTGACTTTTTCCATTTTTACAAAAACACTGACATGCCTGGCATAATAATGCATAGATTCTTGACAATCACTGGTTTGAAAATAAGAAGTTTTTGCAATAGCATTTATCCAGATATAGTGAACGCACATATTATCTTCTTTTTAATAACTAAAGAAAAGGATAACATAATTTTAGCGTACCGTATCTGTATTCGTATTATTGCTAATATGTAGGAACAAAGCTCTAAAATTTTCAGATTTGTTTTTTATTTTTTAACAAAAAATATAGTCATTGTATAATGGAAGAAACTCAGGTGTGCTCTTTCGCGTATATTTCTAACGGCTAATAGCTGCGTTCAGCAGAGAAAACTCATTACTTAGTGATTCTTTAATATTATTGGCTGCGTCAGCAGAGTCAATAATTGAGTGAGAGCTCGCTGCTATTGATTCATTGAATGCGCCCATTGATCATTGCCTTTAATTCTTCTAAATCTAAGTGTAGAAACGAATTATATTAAAGAATCACTAACTGTAAGCGCTGACTATAAGCGCTAATCACTGTAAGCGCTAACTAGGAACCTATTATGGAACATGTCGGAATAATGAATTCCCATCGGGAATTCAATAAGAACCAATCGCTTAGTGAGCAAGCTGCATTGCAAAAATGCATCGAAAAAAAAGTGTTGCCTTTCTGTGATCGGCTGTACATACAAACACACATATACGCATTTACAGAAGTGAATTGAAAATGGCAGAGCCAATCAGAAAAGAGAACACTATCTGCTCCATTCTCTCTTGATTTTCTGTGCGGTGAATCGTTGCCAGTATTGCTAACTTGTTTTCCGATAGATCTAGCATATTTTCATATCAGTTGCTATTTCATTTGTGCGTTTTAGTCATACGACAAATTTTTCAAGCCTGTTGATTAGCTATAAGATAGAGAGATCCGAAGACTTCTCTGTCCTGCACACATTGTCGCACGACAAAAACGCATAAATGAAATAGCACCCTAAGGCCTGTTCTAGGTCCACTAGAGTCATAAGCAGTAAGCCGTAAGAAATTAATCAATCATAGCCGATTATTCTTCTCACACTTAACTATGACTGGTCAATTTCTTACAGCTTACGACATGCAACCCTATTGTAAGCATAAGGCCAATATTACATGCGTCCGTTTTTTATCGTTACGACAATGTGTTCAAGTCTGTCGATTGGTTATAGGATAAAGAAGTCCGAGATCCTCTCTGTCGTGCAGCCAATTGACATGCTTGAAAAATTCATCGTACGACAAAAAACGGACGCATGTAATATTGGCCTTACGGATAGCAGATTTTGTGGATTATTTTGAAAACAGAAATAGCAGATTTTTGTTTAATAATTAATTTACGATAGTCACGAAGACATGAAAAATGTTGTCATAATTATGATTTTAATGAAAAAAATATTGATAAATTATTGAAACAAAGAAAGCGTATATACATAAATATACAAATTTTGAATTACATCATTTTTTACATTTTGAATAGTTACATTGACAAGTGCACATCACTTTATTGTATGTATACATAAACACAAAAAATATAAAAATAAAATATAAAAATGTATTTTCGTTTATTATACAAAAATGTATTTTACATAAATATGTATTTTATATAAATATGTATTTTAGTCTCGTTTATTCAACCGATTGGTTAGTTTCTTTAGCTTAAAATAAGCTCATTACACTTATTTATAAACTAGAACTTATTTATCCAGCACAGGACATATATTTTTTATAAATAAAAATCTTCTAAATTTAGAAATTTAATTTGACATATAATTTTACATATATCTAAATTCATATAACAATTTATTATTTTTAATTTATTTTTTATGTTTTTTGTGTAAAATTAAGCTTAGTTCTAAAATTTTTTTTTGAAAAATTTAATTTATTTTTAGTTGTAACATTTACTACTATTGATGTATTCTTCCAGAATTAAAATGCTAAATTGGATGATTTAAAAAAATATACCAATAATAGCGAGCACTCACTCAACTGTTGAGTCCGCTGAACGCAGCCAATATTGAGTGCATCCAGAATCATGACCGCTCACTGAGCGCTCACTTGAGTTCATGCATCTGATTGGCATATTCCATTAGATCTAAAAATATAGACCAAACAGATACAAGCCCGCTTACTGAGCGCTTCTGAATGCACCTATTAAAATGGATGAGGTCGTGTAGCACACTGCACAGTACCGCTTGTTGGAAAGCTTCCCTTAATACACTCGTTCAGAACTAGTTCAGAATTCTTCGAAAAAAAAAACACGCCTTATTTTATTACTATCAATTTTAAATATCAATAGAAACAATACTTTTGAAATTTTACATCTGTATAGATTTATATCTAAATTATATAATAAAATATATTTTAAAAACAATGTATTATAAAAATGTAGTATTAATAAGTTGAACAAAACGAGATTATAAAGGTTACATGATAACCTACATTGTGCAATATATAACTAATCTAATCAAATCTTGAAACGTCAAATTCGTTAATTTTTTGTCGTTATGATTGGGAATCACGATATGATTGATATAACTTCGGTTTGTAACAATGGGCAGGGCAGAGTTTGGAAAAATCTCAAAATAAATGATAAAGATTATGTGATCTGTTTTATAAAGGAAAATGAATCGATGAAAGTTTTTTTAACAGACCTAATAGAAATTTGGGTGGAGACTCTGACAGACGAAACTATGTTTCACAAATGTCAGGTACTACGAATCGTCTTAATTCTTTCTCATATATGTATTACGTATATAAATTAAATTTTTTATTTATCAACAAATGTGAATCATGAAAGAAAAATGTAGATTGAAATTTATTTTACAAGTAATAAGAATATTTTTCAGTTTTCTGAAAATCATTATATTATTAATACTCATATATCATGAAACGTATTAATTTGTAGACCATGAATCCTCTTTTAAATCTTGAGAATTTTGACTGGAAGCAAATGACACTGGATATGTTAAATGATATCCCTCAATACGTGCATGCAAACGTTTTAGAAGTTACAACATATCGAATAGAATTGCGAAAAGATAAAGATTTTGTAAAATTGAGATTTTCATTGGATCTTCTCAAAGGAACGCCACAGCAATTTTGGGAAAGTGTGACTATGCCTCTCTGCTCATCATCAATGGAATTGATTCGCCGGCATAAGATTCTGTTAAATCTGATTAAACAGAAGGATGAAGAGATAGCGGAATACAAAGCTGAAGGCGCAGAATTAATTAGAAGTACGCGGTTCTTGCAGTGTGCTATATAGTATCGCATTTTAAAGTTGAAAGTTAAACATTATTTGTGTCCCGTATGTAGAATATATCGCTACGAAGCCATTCAGTGAAGAATTGTTTCACACTGATGCTGCTGGATCAACTGATTTTGCAAACTCTTTCCAATCTGTGATTCGTTTTTATAATGAAATAATCTTGTTAAAGTCACACATAAAACTAGAAGTATCTTCAAACAACGCAAGGTACAATAAGACATGTTATAAAGAATATCTTAAATATTTATTGCATTTCCTATTCATTTTAGTACCACTAATAACCTCAAGATTGATGGAAATGTTCCTCTCGATTCGTCAAAGAATGATTCTATACAGAAGCTAAGGCAAGATGAATTGAATGAACAAGGACCTTCAAAAGTTGAAGAGTACAAAGCAAATCTTTCTGGCAAAGCTTCACTTTTGAAAATAAGTAGTACATCTCATACGATACGTAAGAAAAGAAATAAAAAAACTTTGAACGACTTCATAATGTAGTTATGAAATTACTAGGTAATAATAAGTAACCTAATATTTTAGTGCATTATAAAAGTAAGTAACTTTGTGTTTTATATTTATGTTATTTTTGTGCTATTGTGTGATATGTGCTATATATGCTAGAATACGCTGAAAAGTATTAAATTATATTATATATATATATATATATATAT